CTGATCATGTCTGTTTCATACATTAGACTTATCTGAAGATTGAGCAACCAAAAATGGTTCCAGTTTCAATGATGATCGATACGAAACTCCCAAAGTTATAATTAAAACTGATGATTAGAAATCAGCGTTGATATGGCACCATGAATATTAACCATTAGCTCCAAACCACCAAGAAACTCACCCAAGAAAAAAAACTCAAAATAATATAGCAATGCTATAATAGCATTGAAGTTTCAATAAAATGAGCCTTTGAGGGACTGTTTCTAAATTAAAAATAATATCTCGCTATCCAAACTCATTGAATTCATCAATTTTGTGAACAATTTACATTTCTCCTCTGATAAAAAATTGAATAATTTAAGGCCAGAGTAAAAATCTGAGGGAAATTAGGGAGCTGCAAATTTATAAAAATCAATATTTATACTCGATTAGATTGGATTTTTTCATTAAAATCAATTTTCTCGTATTTTTATTACATAATCTATTAAAAAATTAGCCTTTTTTCATTGAAGCAATCTACAATCATAACAGTATGGAATCGAACAGCCATTTCAAGACAAATGCACAATAAATTTGATAAAACTTTCAGTATCCATTGAAAGATTGAACGTCGCGAAGACTGTTAATTGATTGGTTAAAATAATGGACACATTATTTGAAGTTATGTCTGGTAGATTTGTTCTGACAAAAATACGTTTTCATTAAAATTGATATAAAGTAGATACATTTGCAATGTTTGTAATAGTAGCCATCAGTGGATTCAATCATCATTTAGAACTTTTAATGCAATAATACTATGCAATAATACTGTGCAGTATTACTATGCAATAATACTGTGCAATATTACTATGCAATAATACTGTGCAATATTTACTATTTAGTTAATAATCCTAACATTGTCATCGATGCTTCTAAAAATGTTTAATTTATGCTTAAATTATCTTAAACAATTAACCAAAGTCATTTCTAATCAAAATCATATTGTTGACCAAAAAAAAAAGGAAAAAGATTTAGATTTAAACAAGGATAAGGATTCTCATTTTTAATAGTTAATTATTAGCTATCATTGTTTCAAGAATTTAATTGTAATTTTGATTTATAAGTGATTGGTCGACTGATCAAAATCTAATAAAAATTAACCTTAAAACCGCTGGTCAATCTTGGTATCAAGAACTTCATTAGTTTCATTATAAGTTCACATTTAACATACCTTATTATTAATAACGTATACCGTTAATCTCATCTCCTTATCCACCTATCACTTGATCACTTCACCACACAGACCTTTCAATACGAGACTGCTATACCTTTTACATACAATATTATTATAAAAGGCTCTTATTCATTACAAGTCGACAGGATGAGCTTGCATGGTTCTCCTACCGTTTCACCAACACTCAATCCATCTGAATTGAATGACAAGGGTCCTGATAATACTGATTTGACCAAGGGTGTTCAAAACAGTGTTGTCGTTGAAAAGAGAAGCGAGGAGAGCGTCAGTCAGCAACGACCAGTAACTACATTACATCGACCTAAGCTTCATGTTTTCAATGGCCAAGAGAAAGATATTACTGTTGAAAATTGGGTCAAGATGTACGAAACAGTTGCCGAAAGTTATCAATGGTCTGAAAAGCAAACGCTCAATGCTCTTTGTGAGTATTTAGGTGGTGAAGCTCTGAATTTCTTCATTGAAACACGAGATGGCAAATCCTGGGAAGTTATTAAAAATTCTCTTATTGCTCGATTTGGAGTTCAGGCTGTTGATCCTATTGTTGAGTTTTCACGTTTGAAGTTTTTCCAAACCAAAGATGTCAATGACTATTTCCTACGAAAGAGAAGATTAGCTAATTTAGCTTGCCTAACTGAATCACAAGCTGTGGTATTGATGATTGAAAATTTATCAGATGAATTACGTAAAAGAGTCAGCACTTACAATCAATTTTGGTCGATTGCTAAAGCAGCTGAAACGGCTCTTGAAAAACGTGTTAACAACTTCCATCATCGTTCAGGTCAACAAAATCGACCAAATAAGAGGAAATTTGAATTACCAGACAAACCTGTAAAGAAGCAACCTAAAGGAGCTTGTTGGGGTTGTGAACGTGCAGGTAAACCCAACCAACTTCACTGGTCCAATGAATGTCCATTAAAGAAGGGGCAAATTCAATCAGTCAATCATATTAACCAACCGTTTGAACCTTCAACTTCAACTCAAAATCAACGATCAAACAAACAAGGTAAACCCAATAATTTAAACTAATACCCAGGTCTGACACGAAGCCTTTCCACATCATAATCCGTGGCTTCATCGAATCAACTCCTTTGGATATATTATTCGACCCTGGTTCATCAATTAAATTGTTGGATGAGAGTTTTATTCAACCTAAAAATCTTATTAACATTGAAAATAAACTGACATCTTTCTCTACATTGACTGGAAATGGTTTAGTCTCAGGCCTGGCTAAAATAACATTGAGAATTGGACTCATTACAAACAGTGTCATTGTTTGTGTCACCAAGTTAGTTGGTTTTGACTTACTATTAGGTTTAGACAATATTTTTAAATTTAACCTGAAATTTGATTCTGACTATTCCATTGATCAGAATTCTTCTTTTGTTTTACCAACTAATGTTCAGTTAGTTGATCCTCTTCAAATTTTTCCTGAAACTTTTTATCTTGATCTAAAGTCTAACTGAATAGTGATAATGATTCTAGACTTTTGAAAATATTGACTGAGAATAATGAGATATTTAGTGATGATAAGTTCAGAATTGGTCGTTTGAATGACATTGAATGTGTCATTGAATTGAATTCGAAAATTCCTATTAACTCGAAGCCTTATCGAACAACTCTAGAAAGTCAAGCGAGAATAGAGAAGGAAATTAGTTCACTGTTAGAAACCAATTTGATCCGTCATTCCTTTTCTCCTTATGCTTCTCCTGTTACACTAGCCTTTAAGAAAGACGATGGTGATAGAACTCGTTTTTGTATAGATTATAGAAAGTTGAATGAGATCGTTATTCCAGACAAATATCCGATGCCTAGAATTGAGGACATAATTGATAATTTACATGATAGTAAGTTCTTTAGTGTTTTCGATGTTAGATCAGGGTTTTGGCATGTTAAGATGCGTGAGTCGGACATTACTAAAACTGCTTTCGTTACACAAAACAATCATTACGAATGGTTAGTAATGCCATTCGGTTTCAAGAATGCCCCTGCTATTTTTCAAAGGGCAATTCGAGGAATCATTGAAAAACATGAGCTTACTAATTTTTGTCACAACTACATTGATGATATCATTATCTATTCAAAAGACCTTGATACTCATTATCAACACATTTCTTTGCTTTTAGAAGCAATGAAAACTGAAAATGTAAAACTTAATTTTAGCAAATGTAAGTTTGCTCAAAAAAGAGTGAATTATCTTGGTCATCAGCTATCATTGAATGAAATCAAACCCATTCAATCTAATATCGATTCAATTTTAAAATTGAAACCACCAACGAATCTTACGCAAGTAAGAAGATTTCTCGGTAAAATCAATTACAATCGTAAATTTATACCGAAAATCACTGAGATACTAGAACCAATTCATAAATTACCGAGAAAAGACAGTAAATTTGAATGGACTGACGATTGTCAGAAATCTTTTGAAAAACTAAAACAAATCTTGACCTCTGAACCACTATTGAAAATGTTCAACCCTAATCATGAATTGATCTTGGAAGCAGACGCCAGCAAAATTGGTGTTGGTGCTGTTTTAAAACAAATGGATGAGAACAAAATTTCATATCCGATTGGATATTTCTCTAAAAAGTTGACATCATATCAACAAAACTATCCAGCAACTCATCTCGAGTGCTTGGCTGTCATTGAGGCCATAAAATTTTGGCATCACTATCTTTATGCTAAAAAGTTCACGGTGATTACCGATCATGCTGCTCTGAAGTCAATCAGAAAATTGAAAAAGCCAAATTGTCGCTTGTTTACATGGGCTTTGTTCATGGATCAATATGATTTCGAAGTTAAATATCGACCTGGAGTGGAAAATGTACAGGCCGATTATTTATCTAGAGATCCAATTGAAAATGGGGAAATCGAATGTCCTATTCGATTAGTTAATTTCATTAGCCTTAATGAAATGAAAACTGAGCAAGATAAAAGTAAATTAAAAATTTCACGATTAGTGAATAAGGATGGACTTGCTATTAAGATTGATAAAAATGGAATTGAAAAAGTCATTGTACCCGACAGTCTAAGGTCGAAATTAATGCAAAATGTTCATGATCAATTTGGTCACATTGGTGTTAGCAAAATGTTAACAATTTTGGGTTGGCTTTATACATGGCCAAAAATGACTGAAAATGTCATTGACTTTCCTGCTAGCTGTACTCCTTGTCTTCAAGGGAAAACAAGGAGAATTAAAAAGGTTGGTGAAATGGGACAATTTGGTCCAGCTGGGTCACCATTTGAAATTGTGTCGATTGATACAATCTGTGGATTAGATGGATACAAGTGTAAGAAGAGATACTTACACTTGGCTGTGGACCATTTCACACGATTTGTGTGGACTTTAGGTTCAAATAAACAAACTGCTTCGGAATTTATCAAGCTTATTGATAAAATAATGCAATTAGGGAAACCTAAATTAATCCTTGCTGATCAATATACAGCAATCACTTCAAATGCTTTCATTAATCATTTAACCAATCTACAGATTGAGTTAAAATTTATCCCAAAATCAGCTCCAGAATGTAATGGTTTATGCGAACGAGTGGCTAACACTATTGTCGATAAAATCAGAATTAAAATGATTAGCAGTAACTATCGTTACGGCTGGATTAAATATTTACAAAGATCTGTTAATGAATACAACGACACACCACATTCAGTGACTGGTTTTATCTGCTAAATGGTAAACTTCCTCATAATTGTGAAAATGTTCAACTTCCATCAATTGAACAAGCAAGAACTGAAGCTTTTCAAAATTCAACAAATTTTCATCTCAAAAACAAACAACTTTATGATAAAACTCATAGACCTTACCAATTTCAAGACAATGAGCGAGTATTTGTTAAAAATCTTTCAGGTTTTGCTCAAGGTAAATTGGACGCTACTTATTTGGGACCGTTCCGAATTGTAAAGAAAATTGCCAATAACATTTATGAAGTTGCAAGAAATGAAGCACCATTGATATTAGAGCAAATTCATGCGAAACATTTATTACCAGTGAAATCAACATCATCTTATGCTTTGGACTGAAAATGATAGCTCGCGTCACCCAACTATTCATCAGCTACTCATAATTTATATCATAAATTCATCACTTCATGCTATTCCTATTTATTTGTCATGTGGAAAAACTGGAAAAAGATTTGTTCAACCCTTAGGTCGGGGGATGTAATAGTAGCCATCAGTGGATTCAATCATCATTTAGAACTTTTAATGCAATAATACTATGCAATAATACTGTGCAGTATTACTATGCAATAATACTGTGCAATATTACTATGCAATAATACTGTGCAATATTTACTATTTAGTTAATAATCCTAACATTGTCATCGATGCTTCTAAAAATGTTTAATTTATGCTTAAATTATCTTAAACAATTAACCAAAGTCATTTCTAATCAAAATCATATTGTTGACCAAAAAAAAAAGGAAAAAGATTTAGATTTAAACAAGGATAAGGATTCTCATTTTTAATAGTTAATTATTAGCTATCATTGTTTCAAGAATTTAATTGTAATTTTGATTTATAAGTGATTGGTCGACTGATCAAAATCTAATAAAAATTAACCTTAAAACCGCTGGTCAATCTTGGTATCAAGAACTTCATTAGTTTCATTATAAGTTCACATTTAACATACCTTATTATTAATAACGTATACCGTTAATCTCATCTCCTTATCCACCTATCACTTGATCACTTCACCACACAGACCTTTCAATACGAGACTGCTATACCTTTTACATACAATATTATTATAAAAGGCTCTTATTCATTACATGTTTTTAAATTTATTCATTATAATTTTGAGTACATCACGAATATAGGTGATAAGATCTTGAAAAATAGAGTCGACAGATCAAGAGTAATTGACTT